ATTAATTAATTAAAATTAATTAATTTGAGATTAAGGCCAAAAAGCCAACATGAAGTACTCGAGAAAGGGAATGTTCTTTTAAAGCTTACATTGGCAAAACTTTATCTTTGAATGATGTTTTGTATATTCCTTCACTACGTAGGAACTTCATGTCCGAAAGTCTTTTGAACAGGGTTGGGCTTAGGGTTGTGTTTAGGTCGATAAGGTTATCATCACAAAAAATGGTGACTTTGTTGGTAAGGGTTATTTAGCTGATGATTTATTTGTTCTGAACACTACTTCCACTTCTGCTGTAAAATGAAATTAATTCTCGCTCTGCATATATCGTTGAGTTTATTGATTTGTGACATGGTAGACTAGGACATGTGAATCTTGCATCGATTAAAAGACATAAGTTTTAATTTAATCAATGCTTCTTAAATTTCATGAAATTATAAAATGTCATGTCTTCGTAGAGGAAAAATTTACCAAAAAGTCTTTTAAACCTGTCACAACTAAGAGTACTGAACTACTAATATTATTCATTCTCATTGAGCCGATTTCAAAAACACCACAAGTAGAGGTGGTAAAAAATACTTTATTTCCTTTGTTGATGATTTTTCTAGATATACAAAAATTTATCTCCTAAAATCTAAAGATGAATCAAGCAGTATGTTCTTTAAATTCAAATCTGAAGTAGAAAACCAATTGGATAGAAAAATAAAAAGGTTAACATCAAATAATGGTAATGAGTATAGTGATATTTTTGTGAATTGAATGGTATTATATAATGAAGTTATTGCTCCTTATTCAACTCAACATAATGAAATGATGAACGTAAAAGTAGAAGTTTAAAAGAAATTGTGAATGTTATGCTATTGAGTTCTGGTTTATCTGATAGTATGTAGGAGTGCTTACCAAAAGTGTCCAGATTTATTCTTAATATGATTCTAGACAAAGATTTGGATAAAACGACATATGAGCTATGGAAATGATATTCTCCTAACCTGAACTAAGATACTTTAGAGTGTGAGGGTGCTTAGCAAAAGTGAGCCTCCAGATTTTAAAAAACCTATGATTAGATCTAAAACTTTTGATTGTATAATTTTTTTTTTTGTTATACTTAGAATAGTTCTGCATATAGATTCATGTGCTTAAGTGATAATTCAACTTGTAAATATAAATGTACTTAAGTGATAATTCAACTTGTGAATATAAAGATGTTGTATTTTTTAAAAATACTATTCCTATGATAAAGATTGTTGGTGAATCTAATGGAACTTCAAAACAAGTTTTTCCTCTACCTTTGATTATATGATAAATTATGAACCTAGGACTAATGTATCTAAACCTAGGAGAAGTAAAAGGTAGAGGATTAGTAAAAGTTTTGAACCTGATTTCTTAAACTACTTTTTTTGTTGAAAACTTTGATAAAGATAAATTATCATTTTGCTTACTTATATCCGATAGATGAAGATCCTAAAATCTACTAAAAGGCTATAAATTCTATAGATTCTAGTTTATGAAAAGAAGCAATTAAAAGCGATTTAGACTTCATGGTTATGAATCAAACATGAGGCTTGGTAGATCCACCTATAGGAAATAAACCTATAGGGAACCAATGAATCTTTAAAAAGAAAATTAGACCAGAAAGTTCAATAGAAAAATATGAGAATAAATTAGTGGTTGTGGGTTACGTACAGAAATATAATATTGATTATTTTATACATATTATCCTATAACCAAAATAGCTACTATTAGATCTCTAATTGCTATTGCTACTATTCGTAGCCTATTAATACATCAAAAGGATGTAAAAACAACATTTCTTAATGGAGATTTAGAGGAGGAGATCTATATGACACAACCTGAAGGTTTTCTAATTCTTGGTCAAGAGAGTAAAGCAGGTAAGCTTAAAAAAGCTCTCTAGGTCTTAAACAAACTCCTAAACGTGGTGTGAAAATTTTAATGGTACTTTAGTAAACAATGATTATAAAGTAAATTGTTGTGATACATGTGTTTACTCAAAGTTGTTTAGAGTTGATTGTGTGATTATATCCTTATATGTTGATGACATGCTTATTTTTTGTACAAATTTAGATGTTATTAATGATACCAATCTATTGCTATCTTCAAATTTCGAAGTGGAAGATTTAGGAGAGGCTGATGTAATAGTTGGTGTTAAAACAAGAAAAAATAATTATAGTTTTCGTTATGTCAATCACACTATATTGAGAAAAATGTTGAAGAAATTTGATTGCTTTTATAAACTACCTATAAGAACACTAATGATGCTAGCATGAGTCTTAAGAAAAATAAGGGTGATAGTGTATCTCAATCTAGATATGCAAAATTCATAGGTAATGTCATGTTTTTTTATGAACTATGCTAGACCAGATATTGCATATGACATGAATAAATTAAGTAGATATAGACCTAATCTTGGTAAAGAACATTTGATTGCTCTCCATTGTTTGTTAAGGTATCTTAGAGGTAAAATAGATTATTGTTTGCATTTTAACAAGTTTTCGGCTGTGCTAGAAGGTTATAGTGATGCAAACTGGGTTACAGATAATTATGAGGTGAGCTTCACTAGTGGATATGTGTTTCTTTTAGGTAGAGAGACTATTTCATGGAAGTAAACGAAATAGACTTACATTGCATGTTCCAACATGGAATCTGAGTTCATAACAAGAGGCTCAATAACTGAGAATTCTTCTTGGAGACGTGCCTCTGGGGGTGGGAATCAGTACTAGTATCCCTACATTGTGACTCACAAGCTACCATATGGATTGCCAAGAACAGTGTACACGACAACAAGATAAGGCATATACGCCTAGGACATGGAGCTGTGAAACATTTGTTGAAAGGTGGAATTATCTACTTGAAGTATGTGAGGTCTCAGAGGAACTTAGTGGATCCTCTCACCAAAGACCTAACAAAGAGGGTAATTCTTGAGTCCTTAGTATGTATGAGGCCAAAACTTTGATGTTATACATTTATGTATTGATGAATTCTGAAAATTAATAGCTCTTTTGGGTGGTCTATATATGGATTTGATGAATTATTTACAAAATCTTCATAGTTTAGTTTTTGAGTGGTTTATCTATTAATAAAATTGATGAAGCACTAATATGATTGTGAAGGTGGGACCGACTTCTATGAAAGAGTCGATGGTCTCTTCCTAAAGCTTTCACTATAATCCGAGGTTTTATGTGTATGCTCATTAATAGCACTTGATGTATATCACAGAGTCAAAATTAAGGCTTAAAATATGTGTTGTGGGGGTCTCAACCATGATTACTGAAAGTTCAAGAGGTAACTCACTTTCATTTCTTTGGTTGTTGTCTCACTTTATTATGCATTAATTCAAATCAAAAGATATTAATGCTTAAGTTTTTTTTTTTTTGCTCAAAAAACCATTTATTTTACCTATTGTCATTCGTGGGGATTGTTGAGAATGTCAAATGGAAAAATGTTTTAGTTGTCCCACGTGGAAAGATTTCAAAGTGGAAAGAGGTTCATAATAGGAGGTCTTTTATTGGGTTGTTAAAGATGTATGAGGTAAGCCCAAGACATCTCCACATGTGTGTCGCTACCACGAGAAATTATTTTATTATATTTTATTTTGGGGAAATCGTTTTTAGTTTATAAACGTTACAATGTTTTTTTTGTTTTAATTAAACATTAAAAACTTTTTCTATTTAATTACAAAATGGTTTCTATTAATTACAAAACGCTTTTGATATCAAAAGACGCTTTTCATTTAATTGTATAAAATGTTTTTGGTTTTTGAAATCCTATATAAACCCCTCTTTTGTTTCATTTTCGAAAAATTCTTCTAAGTTGATTCCAGTTCGATTCCGACAAGTGCACGCTTGTATTTGGATGTTGTGTTAACCTTGAGGAGCAACCGACAACAAACAATTTAGCTGCCGAATTTTGCTTTTAAGGCAATGGATTAGATTGGTCAATATTTCTAGCTAACATAAGTATATATCTTTTAACTCTACCACATTTTTACATTTATTTAATGGTCATATTTTCTTTAGCCAACATTATAATTTTGTGTTTTTAACTCTAAGTTTATTCCATTCATGCCATAGTTTACTACACATGAGTTTATTCTTCTCTACAATTGCTATATAATAAGCCTATGACAAAAGTCAACCTGGTTTGACCAAGTGGTCAATAAGGATTAATGTAAATAGTAAATGACTTAGTGGAAATGAATTATGTTGATGCAGAAATTATGATTCCGCCAATATTCACATCAATCTTCTAGAATAAAGGGATCAACGATACCTGCAAAACAGAATAGCACTAAGACCGGTGTGACTTTTGCCACACGAGTTCCGATGCTTAAGTCATGATCGGGGTAGTTGAGTGTAAAATGTAGGATATTGTGTGCATATCTCTGGTTTGGCTTACCATTCTATTTATAGAAGTTGAACCCTAATCCCTTCAAAAATTACCAAAATTGAATCCTAGTGTGCCCAGGAGATTTTGACTTCTGGGTCTGTGTGTTTCGTAATTGGCCCAATGTCGAATCTTGGGTTGAGACAAGGTAAACTCGGATCGGGCTGCGCGGGGGTTGGGAGAGAACCATTAGGGTTCTTGGCCGGGGTGGCGAGAACTCCTTAGTCGGCTATGGCTGGCTCGAGTCGCCGGGTTTCGATCTCCTTACCTAGTAAGCCCGCTCTTCCTCTGGCCCAACTCCTATCTTCTGCTCGTCCAATCTGATCTCGTTTTATCTTGGTATAACAAGTTAAGACTAAAATGGTTTAATATAAAAATGTAGTAAGGTCACATGCTTCTTGTGAGGTTAATGAAGTGCATGAACCAAAATGAACGATAATGATAAAAATAATATTTTAACCTAAAAATTAAATGAATTAAAACTTAGACACGAGGGAAAAAAAAAAAGTTCGGTCGGGTCGTATAAGAAAATCAATGGGGCAACCCGACCCGGTTCGGTTTGGGGTCAATTTCTGCGGACATTTCTGAAACCCTAATCACCTTCTTCTTCCACCGTCAAAAACCTCTCTCCAAAGCTTCTTCAGTCGCTCTTCTAATGGCGCTTCAGCTCAGCCTCAGACCCAAAAATCTCAAAAACCTCAACGCTTCTTTCGCCCACCTCTTCTCCTCCAATTCCTCCGCCCCATCTGATCCAAATGACGACGCCGCCGATACTTCTTCCTCCTTCGCCGCCGCCGAAGCTCAGTCTCCCATGTCCTCTTACTTCAGCGACGTCAAAGCGCGCCTCAAACAGCAGCCACAATCGAGTGCCAGAAGGCCTTCGTACCCCTTCACTTCGAATCCATCGAATTCTCCGGCTTCGAAAGCCGCTTCACTGGAAGAAATTAGGAAGAATCTCTCTGAATTTCGCAGCCGATCTGCTGCGCCTCCGCCCTCCGATCCCGGCTCCACATCTTCCTCTTCTGCTCCGTCGTCTTGGGAGCGCGGTATCTCGTTTCAAGAGCTTTACCAGAGAAGTGCGATGAGGAAGGGCCAGGATGGTAATGCACCTGCTGCTGCCCGTAGTGGCATGCTGCCATTCGATTCTATTCGGGAGAGCTTGCGACAGGCGGCCCCGCCAAGGGCAGTGCAAAATGAACGCAAGGGCGGGGATTCAATATCTTTATCGGCGTTTAAGAACAGCTTGAAATTGAAACCATCGGATCCCGCGACAGCGCTGTCGCTGGGTTTGACGGGGAAATTTCCGTCGTCGGTTTTTGGGAAGGAGATGAGGGACAGAAAAGATGGGGAGAATGGGGGAATGAAGACGGAGTTTGTGAAGATGTATAGCCATGGAGAATTGGGAAGCAAGTTGAGAGCTCTGAGGCCAGATAATACGAAAGGAAAGAATTGGTTCTCATTGGCGGAGTTGAATGAGAGGTTGATGAAGTTAAGGGCAATGGAGGAGAAGGAGACTGAGTCAAGGATTGGGGGACTTTCATGCCAGGATTTGAGAGAGAGTCTGGAGAAGATCAAGATGTCTGATGCTGAAAAGGCAAAGAAAACCACGAGTGAGTAAAACAAATTCATTCACAGTTGGGAATTATAACTAGTTTCTTTTAGAATTGCTGAAAGAAATTTTTTTATGTTACTGAAATTAGGCTGGAAGAAAAACTGGACTAAAAATGTTGCAAAGTAAGATTGCTTTGGTAACGTAAATAGTATTGTAACTCCGACACTCATGGATTAATGAACGATGAAATAATATTTTTAGGTATGTTTTGGACCAAATTGGAAACAAGAGAACATAAATAGTTGTCAAATGCTTAAGATAAAATTAGAAACGCAGGAATGTTTAAGGTCCTAGATCATATGAACTATTAAGGGCTACTTTTAGTTCCTTTTCCTATTCAGAGTTGACAAAATGGAGATTGGGATAACTGAACTTTCATATGCTTATATTATTTTGTATCGTAGAGGAAGTACATAAATCTTCCCATTCTAGTGTAAATCAAAACTTGGTTACGGACTATGATCTCTCTTGGGGAGTGATGAACTTTTCCTATGTTAGTCTGTCTTGTTTGAAAATCCTGTCAAGAGATGTAAGTCTAGTTCTATAGTGGCTGTAAGTTTAAAATTGATTCTTTTTTCCTCCCAGTTCAGCGTCTCAATATCCTGGGTCAGCTGGGTCGAACCCCGGATTATATGCTACAACCTCCAAAGGAATATCTGGTTGAAAAGGTATGGGATTTGTTTTTGCACTGATAATTAGAACTGGTATTTCTTTTTTCATTATCAGTTTTAAACTATCATATTCCTTGAAAGTTGAAAATATGTTGGACTGCACATATTTGCTTGTCCTCGTGGCTACCAGAATCTTGGCTCTCACTTCTAATTCTATCGCTCGGTGTATGTTCATCATTTCTTTTGGAACTATCTGATTGTTCTTGAAAATATTGATTTTTTCCTGTCCCATTCTTCAAGTCATCTAAGGTAATAACAGTGTTCCTGAGTTTTCTATTAAATTTTTAGAATGCAAGCAGGCTTCTGATTCTCATTTTTAAAATTACATTTGAAGCTGTAGTTTCATTCTTATTGTTTTATGTTAAAGTTGAACTACTTACTACTTGCTTTTGATTTTTCATTAACTTAAACCAGTAATTTCATGCAGTATTTCCATCCGGATAACATGTCATCTGCTGAAAAGCTGAAAATTGAGTTAGCAAAAGTTAGAGATGAATTTAAAATGTCGGAGTCAGACTGTGGATCGGCTCGAGTTCAAGGTATAGCTTTTAATTGTAGTTTTGTTAAACATTCATCTCGGCAGACATCATATTTCTAACTTGTATTTTGAAATGTACTTATCTCCAATCTTTCCTTCCCCTTAATATTTATATTTCTGTTGTCCCTTAAGGCTGTAATTTAACTGACATGAGATGCGGAAGTTGCTGGGCCTAATGCTTAAGTTAAGCTAAATAGTTTAAAGTTATGATTTCGACATCCTTTTTCTTCATATCCCGGGTTTGAATATTGCTGGAGATTAGTTGTCTTTGTTTGATTCTTTTTGTAATAGTGTTCTACATCTCTCTTTGTTTTGGTGGTGCTAAAACTATAGAAAATTCTTTTGTAACTATAGGCTTTCGTTAACTATTAGTGATTGAAAGATCCTTCTTGTGTAGTTCTTTGGGTTCCTCCAAGCCAGTCCTCTAGGCTCTTCTTTTCTGCCTTTATCTTGAGTATATTTCTCCCTTTTCTTTAAACAAACTGCTGAATTTTGTCTGCTGTGTAATCTGCAGTCGCACAACTTACAACGAAAATCAAACATCTGTCTTCCGTCTTGCACAAGAAGGTGAATGAAACTGTATTTTCCTTTATTCTACACATTTTCAGAGAAGAAGGTGAATGAAACTGTATTTTCCTTTATTCTACACATTTTCAGAGCATAGTTACAACCGTCTTGATTCTGTTCCATCTCTCGTAGAATATATTGAATTCATACTTTGAATCTGCGTTATGTTATCAAAAGTGTAGCTACAAAATACCATTTGGCTTGAAACTTTTAGATGGTCACAAAATTGCTCAATATGGTTCAGGATAAGCATTCTAAGAAAGGTCTTCTTGCAATGGTGCAACTGAGAAAAAAGCTACTGAAGTATCTTCGACGAACTGACTGGGACTCGTACTGTCTGGTTCTTGGCAAACTTGGTCTTCGAGACAACCCGGATTACAAACACTGAAGTTACAGGTGGTATCTCTTAAATGCATTCGAATCTCTTTCCTGAGGTTTGCACTCAGTTTTGCTGGAAAGAAAGTTCACCTAGAATTTTGTTTCATTCATAATCATCATATCATCAAAGTGAGAGCTTTGTGCTTGTGGATGGATGTCCATGAAAAGGCAAAAAAGGCTGTTGATGCTTGGAGATGGATCGTGGCTTATAGGAAAGTGCAAATTTCTTAAGTTTTATTTCTATAGATTATATTACCAAATCCTGATCTGATGTAATTCTTGTTTTTGGATCT